AAAAAAGTTATGGCAACAGTTATTCATTGCGCTCGCTAAGGCGCGATCAACTACAACCGTCACGGAACCAGGCCAACTCCACCCCCCCCCCCCCCTTTTTCCCCAAAGGACGCGAAAGCATAAGGACGCGTAAAGCAAGGGCATCCACGCAATTCATCAGGCCATCCCGACTCGACCCGTTTCAACCCCCGACATAGCCTTGCGCAAAAGATCGCACGGTTGCAGAAAGTAGTTCGTCACATTTCTGCTCGACCAAATCACATAGAAGCCTACTGCACTCATAGATTGGGCTACGTATCCCCATCCCTTGGAGATACACAAATGATCGGAGACTCCCCCTAGCAAAGTCTATATTTTGGACCATTGAAATGGGGAGCCTAAGATACGATCCTAATGCTTGATAATCCATCGCCAAATACGGCTAGAAGCTGGACAATCCCACCACAAATGCACCGTTGATTCGAAGGCCCACTGACAGCGTTTGCAACACATATCTAACCTTACTCTATGTTCAACGAGCCATACTGCCGATGGTGTTGCCACCAGAGAGACTAGCCACAGTATCGAGGCATGTCTTTGGCTAGCTAATTCTTTGAGTTGCTTCCAATAGCGCATCAAGTTGGTTTCAATACTTTCAAGATCCATCTCCATTAGCTGGGCCCACCGGTTTCTAGCAACCACCAAAGGCTGTTTTAGGGGGGGGTTGAGTGTGTAACCCAGCTGAAGAGAGTAATCAATCAACGAAACATTTTGACCTCCTTGACCTTTAGCTCTCCATTCCCACATTGTTGGATCTATCTTCAATCGTGTGAGCGGTTTTGCCCCTGCAAAAACTGTGCATTTCAATGAGTCATTAAGGTCAATATGTTCGATCACCCTTACCTGACACAGTGGTGTTCCAATCTCTGGTTGAGTTACCTCTTCGCTGCAGATGAGCACGTTGTCCGGCATACAGTCCCAGACCTGAAAAGTACATTTACCTTCTCTTTCAATTGTCAAAAGTTTCCAGAGTTTCGTCGTGTCTGATGACTGGGTGGTATACCAGGTTCCCGGGGGGTCTGTTGTTACAGCAACCAACAGATCCTTCCATTTGCCCGGAATAGCCGAAATGATAGCATCTCTGCGGTCTTGCAGAAACCAAACTGCCCCTAAGGTGGATCAGAGGGCTCGTGCGGCTTTCCATGAGCCAGTCAGTTCACCCCAAATATCACTTATTCTCACCACTCCTTTTTCGATCCAGGAACGACCAAAACTTGCCGTAGCAGAGTCTGCTTGGAACCAGTTTCCATTCGAACGTTTGATCTTTGGATTTTCAAACAGCGGTTGTAGTAATACTTCTTCTTTGGTAACTGGCTCAACCCAGGAATCTGGTTTGAGTTTCCTCCATGCCTTAATCACCTCACTCTAGAAAGGTGATTTCACCTGTCTGTGTTGATATGAGTGAAGCATGAGGCATGTCCACTGCTCACACATTTTGAATGTACCAACCTCGGAAAGGTCAGATGCATTATGCTGTGGAGGAGAGCGGCGCCCCGTCCCGCTCCCTCTTAGAGTTGGACCCCACAGGAAAAACGATGGAAAAGACGTCTGGCCATAAAAAGTGGCCGAACAATTTTGGAAAGGTTGGAAACTGTTTTGCCGGGACCCATAGCGGACTGCGTTTTGCGGCAAAGTGCACAAGTGATATTACATAATAGGAAAGGTCCCCGTTCAGCACCCCGAAAAGGAAAGTGGCCGAATGTCCGGAAGACATGGGTTGGACCCAAGGAATGAACGTGCGGCCTCATGTGGGTGACACAGGGCTCCATGACGGGGGTAGGCCAAGGGGCAGGAAACTTGCTGGTTCAAACGGTGGGCGTGACCTTGGAAAGTATCCCGCGCACTCCCTCCCTCACTCTCAACTTTCGGCACAAAATCGCGGTGAGATGTCCTCCGGAGCCACTTTTCCACGCCGCAGACTATGTGAAAACGGCCATACATGTTCTTCCACACCATAAATTGGGGGTTGTGGGGTTCCGGAAACCAGTATTTGGAAGACATTTCGCTTTTGCCAGGAGGTCGGTCTTCCTCACTCTCAACTTTCGGCACAAAATCGCGGCAAGATGTCCTCCGGAGCCACTTTTTTTCCACGCAGCGGACTATGTGAAAACGGCCATACGTGTTCTTCCACGCCATAAATTGGGGGTTGTGGGGTTCCGGAAATCAGTATTTGGAAGACATTTCGCTTTTGCCAGGAGGTCTTCCGCCCTCTGTGGGGTGCCGGAAACAGTTTTGCGGAAACATTCTGCCTTTCCGCATTTCTGTGGGGTCCAACTCTTATTCGCTATTCAGAACTTAGCAAAACAGAGCAGGACTGTGCCACACTGTTTCGTCGGACTTTCACCGACTCATCAGGAGGTTGAACCCCGACAGTCTGCCCAGGATGCGTCTGACTGATGCATAAGGACGCCGCACGTGGTCGACTTTACTCACACCAACCCTGCAATCGTAGTAGACTGTCCATCCGAAACCCTGACAAGAACGTCAGTAAGTCCGAGCAACTAATCTGTCACGGCCATAAACCTACTCTGCACACCCATTCAGCCATGGATACCCAGTGCCATGACCGCTAGTGTATGTTCGCGTGTGTGCACCTGAGTGTCTGCGTGCCTCCCACTCGCTCAAACTGCTCCGTGCGTCCCACCGACTGAAACTGCTCCGAGCGCATCCCACCCGCTGAAACTGCTCCGAGCGCGCGTCTCTCTCTCTCTCTCTCTCTCTCTCTCTCTCTCTCTCTCTCTCTCTCTCTCTCTCTCTCTCTCTCTTGTGTTTGTTTTTCTGTATGTGTGTGCCTGCCTGTGTCTATGCACTCCGCTCAAACCTGTCTTCACCGACGAACCTGAATCGGAACGGAGAGGCTTGCGCCCATTCTTCCCTTCTTCGTAGTCTTCCGCTTACTCCATCGTAACCTTACTATCGAGTCCCTAATGAAATGCTTTATAAACTGTAAGTGCATACTCAGATTGGAACTTTCCCGACTGTGTTTGCCGCAAATTACTGCCACGTTCAACACAGTTCATTCGAGAGTGAGTATGCCCTGCCCCTCGCAGGGCTCTCTCTCTCTCGGTCTCTCTCTCTCTCGCGCGCGTGTGCGCGTGCAGGACTGTATTTCAACAGCTCGTGGGTTTGCCAACTGAGCTACGCACGTTGGCAGGACGGCAATGGAAGTCGCCCCCGCGTCTGGAATGTGGTACCTGAACCGTCAGGCCATGCTAACGCCTCGCCGTTACTTGTGTTCTGCCTGGCAGCCTTGACAGTGTCGCCCGTTCGCCTCGTTCGTTTTCTCCGTTCTTCGCGGAGTTTCGGTCTTTGCTTGCGCAAGGGTGTGCTTGGAAG